AGCTGAGATTTATGATACAGTGAGGCTATAAAGGGCACTATGCAGCTTCTTTGGGATGACTGGGACTGAAAAATCACTTTGAATCTAATCTGTCTGATTATGTAATGTACCACAGCGACAAGGCCACAGCTCGTTGACTTCGTAGTGTTTATATTAGCATGTGGCACGGGCAGACTCTTGGACAAACACACTGTGTACACACAGGGCAGCCTTGGCCTGCAGCATCAATCCCAGTGAGCAAGGTTAAAGTCACCTTTAAGTCACAAACAACCAAAAAATTATACAGAAAATAAAAAAGTCGGCTTCTAATATTTAGACTGAAGGGAAATCCTACCATTTTAATTGGCACATGAAAAAATGTCAATACAAACTATCTGCAGACAGATATAAAAGCTTTTAAGCAGCTTTCAAGGAATGTAAGTACTGCAAGTTGGCGTTTTATTAGCAAATGTCTGCAAAATACCTCTCAAACTACCGAAGTGATTTCAGTGAAATGCTTGTTAAAGACTTGTCACATTTACAATAAAGTTATTTCTAACCTCCGAAACAGCTTTTACAAACCAGGGACACCGTTTTTTCTTTCAACCCAATTATAAGTGTCTGGTAGCTTCAAGCCAACCAAACATGAAGCCAGTTTGAATCTGTCACACAGAGGTAATTAAAGTCTGATTTCATGGCTCTGCTGGTCTTTTTAAATTTTTACCCTTCAGATAAATAGCTTAGCTAATAAAGCTTTTCATTTTCAAATTCATTCCAAATGAGGTTCACATGGCAGAGAGTAAATTACTCAAATAATCTGTTCATTGCTGAATTCAAAGTAGACAGGTTGTGCCTCATTTCCGCTTGTAAACATGACTCCTTTGGATCGTAATAAAAATTACAGTTACCTTTGTTAATCTAGTGTAATACCATAGAAATATTACTTTAAAATAAATTTAAAAGATCTAATACAGAAAACTACCTGTATGTGTATTTTATTTTTCATAATTAAAGAAGATTCTGTTTGGATGTCGGTGTGAGAGCAGTGGTGAATCTAGGATTTTTCTGAGTAAGGGGCCATTAAGGGGCCACAGTATTCAAAGAAAGGCCAAAAATTTGTTCAACATATTTGCAAACAAATCCCTGGTTTGGTGTATACATTTAAACAGTCACATCTTCAAACACTTGTAACGTTTTTTTTTTAAAGCTTGCACAGGAATTTTTATTACAGATTTTCTTGCATTTTTACTGTACATGGATAAAATACTCTCAAACATAGTATGTGGGAAAATGTAGCCATTGTTTGTCAATTGAATTTTTTTTTTCTCTGCAGGATTGGTCAAATCTTACGAAGAGAAGAAGCGTTCTGTAAGCTTGATTCATGCTAGAATTTCCCATTTGATTCATTAGCACCACCAGTGTTTGAACATGGAACTGCATAGGACTGGGCCATAT